TTCCCTATTCCATTTGTCCTGTCTCAATATGAGTGGTCCATGGCAACTGGGTCACATAACGTTAGAATCAGGCAACTTCTTTTTCCCACCTATTTTCTTCAAGTTACAATCATCTCTACATATTTTTCAGGAATGATGTAATGGTCTGTGGAAATTACCCAATCTCAAGATAACTCACATCTTTTCCCCCCACTGCTTTTCTGTTCCATTTCCATGGGTCATTGCATCCCTACAGCAGAATTGTGGTAGGAGCACATTGTGATACAAGTATTTTTCTTTTTCCCAATTAACAATATATTGGTGTGTATGCACCTTTGTGTGTGCACACACACACATCTGTGTGTGAGTGGGGGAAAAAACAAACCCTCCTGATGTATTAGTTAGCCTGTACTCTGAAACATAAACACCAAAATTTAGTGGCTTAACACAACCATTGATGGCGCTTTGGGCAGGGCTCAGCTGGGCAGTTCTGCTGTTCTCAGCTGGACTTATTTATGGGTCTTCAGTCACTGCAGTTAGCTTAGTGGCTCTGCTGTTAGGTGTTAGCTGGCATAATGGGACAACTGGGCCAAGGTCTCATCATCCATCATCCCACTGGCTAGCTCAGGCTTGTCAGTACAGTGCATGGTAAGTCCCAGTGCACAACTGATTTTCAAGCCTCTGCTTATATCATTTGATATTGACCCATTGACCAAAGCAAGTCACATGGCCAAGCCCAAACCAGTGTAGGAAAGTCCTCCCAAGAGATATAGGGAGGCATCAGCAAATCAGAGTCATTACTGGCGGTCAATCCAGCACTCACTTCCATGCCCTAAAAGAAATATCTATTTTTAGGAGCCTTTCTCCCTCAGACATGAAGTCATATTTACTGCTGGCCTAAGAGAAATTGCTAATGACAATCGTGACTTGAAAATACTAAATATAAACTAAATCCTCATTATTCTATAGTGAGCAGCTATGTATGGCATTACAAGGCTGGAAAATTCAAGGAAAGTTTGTACATAGTACTTAATAAAAGTGTTCTTTCAAATCAGGAAAAAAGGTGTAATTTGTATTTACTTACTCAACACACATTTATTAAGTCACCATTATTTGTTCATGAATCGATGTTTCTTGAGCTTCTTACATGGCCTACCATTGTTCTAGGCCCTGAGGACAGAGTAGAGAACAAAGAATTGAAGATCCTTCGTCTGTTATGTTTTAATGAGAGGATCATCCTAATAAATAGATGGTCCAAAACAACAAATATACATTCAACAATAAACAAAACAGTAAAATAAATTTAGATAATGATAATTATCATTAGTACAATAAAATAGGAGACTGTGATAAAGATTGGAGACCTTATTTGGATCAGTCATAGAAGGCCTCTCTGAGGAGAAAATATCTGGGGGGGAAAAAAAACACAAGAAAAGAGAAAAATGTAAAGAAATCAGGTGTGACAAGAGCAGAACTTTCTTAGCAGAGGCAACGCCAAGTGAAGCAGCAACCAGCTTGGTCTGTTCCAGGAATAAAATTCAATGCAAGGCAGCAAGTATAGGATCAGGCAGGAAGGTCAAAGAGGTAGGCAAGGACAAGGGCACATGGATTTGGAGGCCATGGCAAGGAGCTCAGATTCAGATTTTTATCCCGATGCAGTGGGGGTGAGAGTGTGGCCAACCAGCAGTCAGGTTCTCAGCAAAGGAAATCAGAGATGGTATTATGTCCTGATTTTTGTTTGTGGAGATTACACTGGCTATAGGTGAAGAATGGACTGTAGCGGGACAAGAGTGGAGGCAGAGAACAATTAGGAGGCCATCTGAAATATCTGAGCAAGAAGTGATGCTTCCTAATCTAGGTGGTAGTGGAGATGCAGAGACTAAGACAAAACATCAGAACTTGCGGGGAATGGAGGGAGGGAGTGAAAGGAATCAAGAGTGACTATTCAACATTTGGTCTGAGCAACCATGGGCCTGCCAGTCACTGTACTGAGCTGTGGGGATAAAATAGACAAGAGCACCAGTATTTGCCTTATGGAGTTTATGATCTATAATTATTTTTAAAATGCTACTGGGTTAATAGACTAATTATTTAGAAAATTAAGTTAGATTTAAATATTCCAGTTTTTAACAACATCAAGTCCAGATAGGTTGAAATGTTGAATTTAATAAATGAATAATAGTTAAATAAATCAGAAGGAAAAAGAAAATGTGTATATATATATATATATATATATACAAACATTAAGAATGGGAAAGCTTTTTGAACACTAAGATGTAAGCAATAAAGAAAAATAGTAATGGATTAATTATTTAAATTTAAAAAATTTTTATGTCAAAAGATATACCAACAAAACTAACAGGCAATACTGAAAAATATAATCACAGCATATATGATGAAGAGTTGATGTGTTTAATATATAAAGAGATCTTATAAATCAGTAAGAAAAGATGGACAAAGAATACAATAAACAAGAAACCAAAAATACAGGATAAGTCTAAAGAAAGAGTTCAATCTTACAGGTATTCAATAATATACATATTTAAAACAGAATACGATTTTTTTAAGCTTTCAAATTGATAAACATTTAAACAAATAATAATTCAGGAGTCACCTTAAGACTATAAAATTGACACTTTTTTTTAAAAGAGAAATCCTTTTAAAAGGTCATTCCCTTTTACCCGGCAACTTTATTTTTTGAAATGTAGCTAACGGACATTATCACGGTTGTGTGAAGTTGTATATAAACATTTACTACAGTGTTGTTTATAGTAACATAAATATCCACAATTGGGAACTGATTAAATAATGTATATCCATATGGTATAATATAGTGTAACTAGCTAAAATCACATTGCAGAGGGGAAAAAAAAACACTGGTTGACATATGGCAAATTGTTCATAAGATGTTTTATGTGATAAAAAAACAGGTTATAAAACAATAAGCCAAATGTAGTAACATTTTGGTAAATACCCGTAGAGGAACTATGTCAATAAAGACATTCACCAAATTGTTTATAGTAACTACATTTAAGAGATGGAATTATAAGTGATCTTTTTCTACATTTCTTTGTTTTCCAAAATTTTCACATCGCATATGTGTGATTATGTATTTTTATATTACAAAACAAACATTACATATACAAAAGGGTAAGTACTCAAAAACAAAAGGAGTCACTGAGCCTTTAACGGAAGGAAACCAGTTGCAAGTTAGTAATCAGAATAAAGGTTTCCGGGATGCTTGCACATAAAAAATGCAAAAACATTTGCCTTGATACTGATACTAAAGGAATGAGGCCCACAGAGTGGGGACTTTGGGGGTGGAGCATGGATTAAACAAAGATGTCCTGGACCTGGGAGCTATTGACACTGCAGGTCCTGTTAGTCATCATTAAAAGGTCAGCCCATAACAGCAGGGTTTGTGGTGCCAACATGGCAACCATACTAATACTCACAAGTAATACCAAGTCACACTGTCCTCATAAATGAGGTGGTACAAGTTTTGATTGTGGCCCAAAAAATCCATATGCTTCATTCTAATAAAATCGTCTAAAGAATGATAAATCTGGTTGCTTCTGACCTCTGTGTACCATAAGTTAACTAGCTAAACTGGCTGACTTTTTGAAATACTGTGATCAATCAAACATGTGACCTGAAAATCTTGAGTGATGATCAATCTGTGAATTTAACACTTGAACATTCAGGACATGAGATATCAACTCTGCTTACTAAACTCATTGCTGGAATAATATTTAATTCCTTTGGAAAGCTCTCAGGCTTATACTTGAAAAACAACTTTTAAAATATTAAAGTTGCTTTACACAGGAAACAGGTAAAGCATCGATGATACCAAAAAATACTTGTGTGGTAAAAGCACTTTGTATTCCCACAGCATCTGTCATCTAAGGGTCTCTAAGTTTTGGTGCTCACCCCTTTCTTTGGACTGATCTTATTTAATTTTTTTAAAGCTTTGGCATTTTGGTAGTTTTCAAAGAGGTAGCTTCTTTTTAAAATTCAGGTATAGTTGACATATAACATTATATTAACTTCAGGTGTACAACATAATGATTCAATATTTGTATATGTTTTGAAATGATCACCACAATCAGTCTAGTTAACTAGACTTTGGTGGCCTTCTTGAAATTGGAGGTACTGAGGAAAAGCAAAATCCCCAAATCCAATTCAGTAGGTAGGGATTAAGTTATTATTAATTTCCTCTTTTATACTTTCTTACAGTAGTTTTCAAACTTTGATGACTGCCTGATTCTTCTGAGGCACTTAAAAAGAAATACAGGTGCCTACAGCCCACCCCAGACCTACTAGATCAGTCTCACAAGTGCTGTCGTCCTATTGGAGTTTAGCAAGTTATATTGGTGCACCCTCGGGTGTGGGAAGCACTGCTTTGGGTGAAAAGGTGCTGGTGGGTAAAGGAGGTGGAAAAAATAGAAGAAAGAAAGAGAGATAGATAGAGAGAGAAATATTAAAATTTCTAATTGAAAGAGAACATTAAAAACAAAGACACAGATGGCCCTGACTGGGTGGCTCATGTCCAGTACACCAAAAGGTTTGAGGGTTTGATTCCCAGTCAGGGCACATACCAAGGTTGTGGGTTTGATTTCCGGTGAGAGCATGTAGGGAAGGCAATCTCTCTCTCTCTCTCTCTCTCTCTCTCTCTCTCTCTCTCTC